AATTTCCCTGGCCAATCCCGTGGCAGGCCCAACTCCCGAGGGATCAACCCCAACCCCTCACTCACCACCTGGTTCTGAGCCCAAATGGAAACCACCCCGCTGGAGATGGAGGCGATGATGGGGCGCACCGGGTGCCACTGCCGGCGAGCGAGAACGAGAAAAGAAAACCTTCATGAGCAAATCGGGAATTGGGGCGTGCCAATCCCGCCGTGCCAGGGGCAGCCCGGGGCAGGGGGGTTCCTCACTGCCACGTCCAGCAGCAGCTCGCCGCGGGTGCCGTGCAGGATCTTCACCAGGTTGCCGATGCTCTTCTCCCAGATGTAGAGCGCGTGCTGGCGCGCCGAGCCCGCCACGATGTACTCGCCGTCCCCCGAGAAGCAGCACTTCTTCCAGGGCGTCCTGGGGGACACACGGCTGGGGCTGTGCTTCCACGGACTGCACTGCTCTTATGTCTAAACTTCTAGGTTTTATTATTGTTGTATTGTTTTTTTATTATTTTTATATTATTTTTATTATTTTATTGTTTTTATTATTTTTATTATTTTATTATTTTTATTTAGATTAAATATACTTATATATAAATATACATCTATATAAAAATATATTTATATATTATGTTTTATGTTTTTATTTATGTTTCTTATTTATACGTTTCTTATTTATAAGTTTCTTATTTATACTTTTATTATTTATATGTTTCTTATTTATACATTTCTAATTTATAAGTTTCTTATTTATACTTTTATTATTTATACGTTTCTTTATACGTTTCTTATTTATACATTTCTTATTTATACGTTTCTTATTTATACGTTTATTATTTATATATTTCTTATTTATACGTTTCTTATTTATGCGTTTCTTATTTATACATTTATTATTTATACATTTATTATTTATGCATTTATTACTTATACATTTATTATTTATACGTTTAGTTATAGATTTATCATTTATATGTTATTATTTATATATTATGTCTATATGTTTTAGAATATGTTTTGTTTATATTTAAGATTTATATTTTAGGTTTGGGCTTTTCAGTTTTCCACATTCTGTGCCTCAAGTTTAGGTATTATGTTTTCAGAGTCT